CCCAACTCTGTCCAATTCTCTTCTAACAAAAAACTGCCTGCCCAAGCAGGATCTTCATGAACCTGTTGCTGGCTGACTCCCACGCCATCCAAGCAGAAGCATTTCATGTGTGACTGCCTCGGCCTTCCTCTCAGAGCACCCGTCCACCTTTATTTTGCTCCCAGGTTCAAGATATTCGTGGTGAACCCGCAGAAGCCTGCGCGAATTCAACAGATCCTCGTAAAAAACAAGGACATTCGGCTGCCTTGCACATGCGTAGTGCATGCCCAGTGCCTGCAGGACAAACTCGTCTCGCTCCTCCAAAGCCTGCACGCTGTGCGGTGTGGTGCTTGGTTTACGGTCAACGTCAAAGCTTCCTTGATGGAAAGCAATTCGAAGGACGGACGACACAAATTTCGCATGCGATCTGGACAAGGCAACCAGCTATGGTCAGATGCGGCAAAACCCAAGCATGTCATCAAAAGATTCGCAGAGGTCATCAAACGCCTGCTGTCCATGACGATGCCTCATCCCTTGAAGCGGTGTGCCTGACATGGACTCTATGCCTTGATCTTGCGTTCATGTTGACTTGTGGGGACGGGTTTAAGCTCTTGTGACAGGCCGCATGTGAGTCATCTCAGCAGAACCAGCAGCTCAATCTCCGTGGCCACAACTTCATGTGACACGGAGAGCACAGGGTATGAGGCAGGCTTTGATGGGCCAAGAAGTCAGTCTGTCCTCTTTTTTGCAAGCTGGGTCCTCGCCAGAATCCGTGGGACCACCTCAAGCCCACGTTGTCGCCGCCGCCAGCGGTTCTGCCCTCAGGACGATGCTGCTGTGCCCAGTCGTAACCTTTCCGACTTTCCTAAGGTGCTCGCGCTCTAACCTCCCCTGGTCCTTCTTTGCGTCGTCGCATGAGACAGGGCCGAATCCACTTAGCAATGTGCAGAGGAGCAAATCGCACATTGCTCCTCCGCCAAGTGGCCAAGAGCATAGGAAACCCGAGCGAACTTTGCTCAATTTTGCCACTGTAAAGACTTTCCATACAGAGTTGTGGAGCCCGCGATTTTGCCTGGCACCGTGGCAAGTCGAGGTGCGGTCCGGAACCTCAGCTGCATTTTGAGTCGTTCACCGCAACGAACGCACCCACTCCTTTCAACCCGGCGTCCTCATGAACTGTGTCACATAAAGCAGAGAGACGAGCTGGGGGGTTTTGCTCCGAGGACCCTTCCCCGAGCCTGTGGCGGGGCTCTGGGCCGAGCTCGGTGCCGAGGTGAAGCTCAGCACCCCGGCTTCTGGGGACCTCTGTGCTCTTCTCGGGTGTTTGAGCGCAAACCGTGCAGCCAAGGCTCCCTTTCGGCGCCCGGGGCTCTAGCAAGCCCGGGTGGTTTCACTTGGCCTGCTTTGCAGGTTCTTGTTTCTTTCTGAGCATAGCTCGGAGCATGGGTAATGAGGAGTGCGACAGCCAGAGAGCTCTGCAGTTCCGAGAAGTGCACGAAGGTGCCAAGTTGTAGCTTCAAGCCAGAGCCAGAAACATGAGAGAGGCCTGCTGCCGGCACAGCTTTCTTTTCAGCTTTTTTTCACTGCCGGCAGCTGCCTCTCCTTCGTGTTGTATCACAGTCGACTCAGCTTGGAAGTGAGCCTTGAGGGCGAGAGCGCAAGCAACTTGTGCATCTTCGTCCAAGGCCCATGCTTCAAATCCAGTGCCATGCATGCATCCGTGAATTTTGACACTGCCTTGGCAGTGTTACATTTTGAGGTGTCCCTTGAGAAAGCAGAACTAGCGATGACTAGCTTACCAGCCATTGTTTCAGAGCTAAGGCGCAACAAGCAGTTTCAAGCAAAGTACAGTTTTTGGTGAAGTCTGCTTTGGCAAGGGCTACGAGACTCGTGGAAAGGTGGTCTTGGCGTCGCATTCGTGTGTTTGTATTTTCAGCAATTGAGTCGGGCTTTACGTCTTTTGCGTCTCGTAAAGACGTGCGTGACGCCAATCCCATACGCTGGTTTGCATTCCAAGATGCTCCTGGCGGCGTGGGGCTACTCAGCTTTGGTTTGGGGGAAGAGCTTTCTGGATATTGCAATGATTTCGTTCACAGTCGAACTGCATGGGCTGTTCTTCAGACCTCTCCCTGCTGAGGTGAAAGCTCAGCAAAAGACGCGAGGCTTAACGGCCTAGGATTTGGAAATGTGCCAGAGTCGACATCTGACATGAAGTGTCTGAGCACTCAGATGCTTCGGTGCGCTTTGGCCATCCGGGTCCAACCCCGGGAGTATTTCACCGAGAGGCAAATCGGACGGCGGACAGAATCCCAGAGTGCAACTGGAAGCAAGCGGCATTTTTGGGAGGGAGTTCCTGGCAGATGTGTTCGATCTGCCTCCGTGGTGGAGGGAGGATCTTGTTTCACCTGGGAACTTAGATATGCAGATGGCCGCATGTCTCTGCGGCGGCTACTTCCAACAAGAGCTCCTACTGGTAACCCTTTACCGGAAGCTGCCCGGAGCTTGTACAGCTTTCTGCGCGGCCGTACAGCTCAGAGGCATTGGTATGAGGCGATGGCAAGCGTTTTGTGCGCTTGTTTGAGTTTCAACTGTTGAATCTGAGTGACTGAGTGATGCGATGGAGTAAGAGAGAGTGAGACTGATGTTGTCTACCAGCCGTTTGCGTGTCTTGATGTTCGATCAAGGTCGAAACTCAAGTTTTGAGAACAGACCTCTGAGGCACACATTTTCATCGCGAAGCCACCACGTGTAACACTTGTGGGAGCTGACCAGCTGTGATCAGTTTTGGCTAGCAGTCCTGTTGATCTCAGTGGCCTTTCGTGGTCTTGTGGCTGCCATCTTGCGTCTCATCTCTTTTGGGTTCTGTCGGGTGGATGAAGGTGGCCTTGCAAAAGTTGGTGCAAGAGCAAGCCTTAGTCCAACTCGGCGAGCGGGCGAGCAGAAGACCTGCCTGAGCTAAAACGAGCCAGCCACCCCACAACAGGCCCTCGCTTTTCTGTCTGGTGGCAACCGTATGCTTCCCAATTTCGGTGCCTGAGCCATGCCATCTTGGCTCAGAGCCTGTGCTCCATTTCAGATCCACGCCGTGGTCAGCGCTTTGCTCAGAGGGAGAGCTGCTTTGAAGAAACGTGATGTGGACCAGGCCGTGTGGTCGCTTCTGAGGCAAACTACTTGCCTTTCTACAACACTAGAAACAGAGCTGCTTGCGTCGCACCCGCAGCAAGCCTACGTACCTGACTGCGCAGTATGCTGGTTCATCCGTCCATGCACCCTTTGCTAGGTCACGCATGTGGCTTGCGAAGCAGACTACCCGTACCATTGAAGCTTCATATGCCGCTCGACCTCGGTATCTTCTCACCATGCGCCAGAAAGTCATAGCACTTGAGCAGTGTTCTTATTGTGATCGTCATTTGAGGTTGTTGTGTTGCTTTGTTTCGTGCCTCTGCTGGAATGGCATGCAACAAAGTTTGGAGCTACCCATAAAATCTGGCGAAGCAGGGATGCCTTGCAGGTGCTTTTCATGCCCTTCTGCTTCAAGGCCGGGCTTGAAGCAGTTTGCAAACTCGTTTCGGATGTGATAACAGACAGGTCATGCCGAACGAAGAGATCGGAGCTGGAGCGGCGCTGCAGGGATCTGTGCTCTTGCTGCGCCTGTTTCTTGCAAGCGGGCCTGCTGATGTGCGACGCCGAGGCCAAACGCCTGCCTAGAATCAGGGAATAACCTGTTGGCTGACAGCCAAATACACGAGTCTCTGCGGCACTGCGTCGTGCAAGTCTGTCGACTTTCATGATTCAATGATTCAAGCGATAGTCCGGCGAGTTGCTCTTCGACCCAAGGAGGATGGTGAAGCAGCGCAGCGAGAGCCGAGTCTCCACATAGAGGAGGGACATAGGGATGTAGGGACCCTGCAGGGACCCTGCAGTTACCATCCTAGCGAGAGATGTTGGCTTGGCTCTGCAGGCTTGCATTGGAAGGACGGACAGCGTAGTCTCGCCGTTGTTCGCGGCTCATCGGCCAACACCGCATTCCATATTCTCTTTTTTTTTTTTTACCAGTTGGTCTTCAAGGTCCATGCTCATAGCACTCATTGGAGGCGACAGAAACACTTTGACCTCTTGAAAGACTGCAGCGATCTACCCGTTCAGAACAGCAGGTGGTGTATTCAGCTTGGAGGCGTTCGAAGCCTTTCCCGTTTGACAGTCTCGGGCTCAGTGCAGCAAGAGGGGCTTGCACTGCAGAAAATCTGTCATCAGGTGAGCAGAGACCTTGTGAAGTGTTGTAGCCTCTTGTGTGAATTAGCCGTAGCCTAGCTACAGCTTGCTCTGTCCTTTCTGCCGTGAACTGTAGGGAGTTCAGGCCGAGACTCCTTGAGGAGCAAACTGATGGCTTGCTTAACGGATCGGCTGCCGGAGGCTGGCTCAGGCGCTTAGCAAAAGCCTTAGCCATGTTCCAAACTTGACATCGTCCTGTCTTGTGTTTTTTTGGCCAAGATTTGCAAGCAGCATCGGTACGTCTTTTGCGTTCTGCGCTCTGGGTGTGTGCTAGCAGTCAAGCTGACAGCACTGCCGCGGGGCCTTACTGCAGGGAGCAGTTGAAAAGATGATCTCTGACCCGTGCTGCTGTTGACAGAAGATGAACCGTGCATGGCCTTTGTTGAAGACCCAGGCTCAAAGTCTTCGCCGTTTTGCTAAAGAGATCCTGTATCTCCTGGACTCCTAGACTCACCCTCAAAAGCAGCTTTAGCATCGCGACTAGCATCGACTTCTGGGTTGGCAGCACAAGCTCGTCGACTCATTGCTGATCGATGGCATCCTGAAGCGTTTCCGAGATGCCGCCGCAGAGCTGCAGGACAGCCCAAGCCCAAGCCCGCCCCAGCCTGGTCCTGTAGAAGACATCGCAGACTTCGCCACAGACGGATATGAAGTCAATGAAAATGCATGGCATGGCATGGCATGGCGTGGCCAAGGAAGGAACCTCCGCGAAAACCTGAAAGAGCGGAAGAAGTGGCTTTGGAAGCGCCATGAGCCGACAGAAGCAAGTCTTGCCACCGGGGCATTTCAGCCGCATCTACAGGCCCGGGACGAAGGGACGCAGCCGTGCCAGAGAAGAGAAGCCATGCTTCAAGTTGTACCTGCATGTGAGGATCATTGGGAGAGTCGTCGGTGCTCGAGGTTTGCCGAGACCTGTCTGCGTTGATGTCCACGTTCACTCTCCAACGCTGTGAGTTGCGATCCCGCCCGAGGAATGCCGACGCAACATCAAAGTCGGATCCGTACTGCGTGGTCAAGGCGCCCGTGTAGATCTCCTAAATCCTTGACTTCGCCTCTGTGAGAGGGCATCCGGTCCAACAACCACATGGTCAACATTTATTGCACCAGAACAGTGCAGAGCCTTGGTGCCACGGAACAGGGACTCGTAGTGGGAAGAAAGGCCTTCAGCACCGTACCTCTGTCTGAGAAACTGAGGAACTCGCTCTCCCCAATATGGGAGGAGAGAACGCGACCGGCGAATTTTCAATTGAGCGGTTGTCAGTGCAACTTCATCATCCCCGGCTACAGGAGGAGTTCGACTACCGCATCCCACCCGAGTGGGGGTTGGTCGAGCTGGTCGGTTTGAAGGTAGGGCGCCCAGAAGCCCTTCCGTTCCCTTGGAAGTTCTCTCGAGATGGCGCTCCGATACTTCTTGCCCGGTAAATTATCATCGCGAAGAGACGGACAACAGTGAAGCGAAGCAGGGGTCACAGCAATTGTCGGAGGGGGTTCTTGAAGTCGTGTCCCAACACATCCCGAGCCTTGTCCAAACATGGAGACATGACGCTGGAGAGTCTTCTGACGACGCGTTTGCAACTTCCTTTCCAGACAACATCACGCACCAAGGTGCGAAGAACCAATTGGTCTTCAATTCGACAAATCAATACAAAGCTGGCCTGCTTGTGTCAAATCGACGGCAGCAAAAGACAAGCCTTGTCGCGGCACGAAGAGTCTCGGTGCGCACACACAGAGAATCTGCAGGGGCTTCCCCTGTGCCAAGCAAAAAGAGCTGGGCAAAGAGAACTGGAAGAACACGAATCGCCAAGGGGGGGGAGCTCCACATCAGATATGTGTCGGGTGACTCTCTGGAATTTTATTAATGGTGTTTGGTGTTAGCCTACTTCTCACGTGGTGGACTCGGCATGAGGCGATGGTGTTCGATGCAGATGACAACACGACCAGCTTTCTAGGCCAGCCCTTGTCTTATGGAGTTCACGGCCGAAGTGTCTTCTGTGTTTTGTTTGCATCCACAGTTTCAAGCGTGGTTTCCGCTCAGCAGGCACCGAAGATTTCCTCGGTGGATGCCACTCGCCTGCAGCCAAACGCATTTGTCACAAAGGACAACATTTTTTCTTTGGAGTATCCACGGTCAGCTCAGACAGCTGACGCAACAACAGTGGGATGATGCCGGATGCTGCTGCTAGGTTATCTTACTTGGCGAGCATTACTCGTCCAGGTGACATTGACCTTTCCAATGCCGTGACTGGCCGCTTCTCGGCCGCAATGGAAGTCACCAAAGAAACCGCCGGCGGGGGGATTGCGGGAATGGACGACGCACAGCCGCAGGTGCGCTTACTCATGAGCTGGAGCTGGCGGGGGTTCCCCTGAACAAGGCGCGAGCCTGCATAACGCTACACATTCTCCTCCTCAAGCGCAAGCTGAATCCATTAGCGGGGGAGAGGTTGTGAATCTGTGTCTGTGGGGGACGTCACTGACATTGACAGTGACTGACTTCGCCTAGAATGTTTCTGATGTCAGACAGCCGTTGCTCCTTCAAGGCCTTAGGCTCCTAGTCTAATAATAGACATGTGACATGTATCCCAGAGCCCTGCCCGAATCATTCAGGTCCCTTTCTTAACCGTGGAGATTTCAGGCTAAAGAGCTTTTGGGACTTTCTGCTCTGGAGTCCTTCAGCCTCAAAGCACGAGGTGCCGGGTGGATCCGCTCCGCTCTTGTACCGAGAGCTGAGGGACTCTGGACGTTTTCTTTACCAGACACATCTTGCTGTGAAGCTGAATTCGGTTGTGAAACCAGTCGCCATCGTTCGTTTCCGCGTCTGCACGCTGCCGCTCGTCACTCTGTTCTGGTCCCAGGGTTTGACAGTGTGACTGCACTGTGTTTCATTCGGGTGGGGTTTGACACCTGGTGCTCCTTCAAAGTGGGAAGGGTGTGTTACGGTGCGTTAGTCCAAGGTGCTGTTCGAGAAAGGCCATCGGGCCAAACCGCAGCCTTTTCTTGCTTTGTGCTTTGCATACCTATGTTTGCTGAGTCTGGTGCTTGTTGCTGCCTAATTATTCAGGGTCGCTGCCACTCTCTTGTCGCCTTCATTTCAATACCCACATATTGCGACAGGCGAAGGGCAAGAAACCGCGGCTTACGCTTGTGGTCACCGTCTACAAGGATTCCCCCTTGGCCTGATTTCTGATGACAGGTTCTGGGGATGCGGATCCTTTTGTAGTCGAGTTGTTCTTCACGACACGACTTCCGATTCGTAGAGGGACAGGATTTTTTCTGTGGGCCATCGGCCGAAGGAAGTGGTTCCGAAGCCGAAGCCTCAAATGGACCTCTTGATAGAGAGCCTGGAGTTCTTGGAGTACATCCGCGAGGCTCAGAGCAGCCCATGAGTGCCCCCAGGGGTCATATGCTTCAATGAGGGTAGTGGTTGCATGCTCTTCTTCTACGATCTCTGATCGATCTTGAATGTCAATGTGTCGATTCTCATTCTCTGGCGATTGACGATCTTGTTTCTTCTACACATGCTCTCGCGCACCTCAGCCCCTGCAGCAGTGATAATCCTGCCAGGTGTCTGTGAAAGTCGTCGAGGCCAAGGTGCGGCTTTTGTAATGCGCTATAAGGCGAGCAAAACATGCTCTCAGAGCTGCTAGCGATCGCAAAAAAAGCATGTTTTCAGGCACTCCCGAACGCGGACCTGGTGGGTTCGAGTGATCCGCAGTGTGTCGTGCGACTCATCATGGTAAATGGTGAGGCGAGGCAAACGAAGAATGTGTTTTAGTTCTCACTCAGAACTCTTTGATAGCTTTCCCCTGTGCAGTGCAGGTTCGAGAGTTGCACCGCACGAAGACCATCAAGGATAATCTGAATCCCAGGTGGGACGAGGCCTCACCCTGTCGTCGACTAGGTCCCCGAAGCACATGCGCTGCTGAGCACCCCTGCGCTCCGAGATGTGTGGCCAAAAGTTCGAGTTTATGGATCAACCACTGCTTCTCGCCGCACACTCAGACTTGCCAGTGTCGGCACCAACCACAGGTGCATCCCTGACTGGAGATGGTCGTGGGCATGTGGGTGTGTGCGGGGTTCACAGGATGTGGGCAGGGCGCGGGGACGAATTTTCGGACGTCGACCGAATTCGAGTTTCCTTCGAGCCGCACCTTCCTAAGCTAGAATCAACATATGTCGCAAACAACATCCCATGTGTTCGCAGGGGAATACCTGAGCTCTCGAGTGCTCTTGATGTGCACTGGCCAGAGAAGTTGTGAACAGATGCTAGATAGTTGATGTTTTTGAGTTTAGATGGTGTTTCGAGAAGGATCGCAGGTTCTCATCCTCCAATTCTGTTGTCGTCGTGGCAATCTCTTTGCTTCTGGTGAGGTGTTCGACATATGGGATGTAGATGGGCCAGGTCGAGCAGAGGCGCGGCAAGTGGCCCTTGGCCTCACCTGGGTTGCTGCTGGGCGCTTTGCTGGGCCTGTTGTTGAGCAGGATGGTCAGCACCTGGGCTCGGCTGTGGTGCCACTCCTGCCTGGCCCTCGCTTTTTTGCAGTGCTTTCGCAGTGCAGGGGGGCATCGCGCTGGTCAGGGAGTGTTTACCCGGGACGAACCGCAAGCGGAAGTTGCCCTTGCTGGGGGAGCACGTGGCTCAGTCGCCCCATCGGCATCGGCCTCGCCCGTTAGCTTTGCCGACCTGCCCAAGGCAGCAGCTGCACGAAAAGCGGCTCACGCGGATGGGCGTTCCCCGCGAGCTAGAGAAGGCTGGCGAGTTCGTGCGTGGCTTGCAGCCACAGACCAGCCTGCCGCCAGCCAGGCCGATGACGGTCGAGTTTCCGACGGAGAGCTGTTGTGAGCTGAGCCTTTTGAGACATAGCCGGACACTGACGCCTCTGCCCTGAGCTCGGAGTCCCTCAGAGGTCCGAGGTGTCCCTTGTCGAGCCTGAGCCGAAACCAAAGCCCTCCTGCATGGAAAGGCCTGTCCGGCAGATTTCGCGCATAAACAAGAGACAGGATGGCAAGTTTCCAGGCTCTCGAAAGCCGCCGTGGACTTCCGAGAGAAAGTGAAGCTGCTCGTTTTGACAAGGCTGTTTTGGAAGTCACATTGCGGCATACTTCCCACAATCACGACAACAACAGCAGCAACAACAACAACAACAACAGCAACAGCAACAGCAACAGCAACAGCAACAGCTGCAGCAACAGCAGCAGCAGCAGCGGCGGCAGCAGCAGCAGCGGCGGCGGCGGCAGCAGCAGCAGCAGCAGTAACCACAGCAACAACGGCAACAACAGCAACAGCAGCAGCAACACCAGCAACACCGACAACAACGGCAGCAACGGCAGCAACACCAGCAACAACAGCAAGAATAGCAGCAACAATAACAACACCAGTTTTTCTTGGACTAATCATGCCCTCCGTTCGGAATACTTACAGCAAAAATGTATTCCGAGGACCCACCCCATGACCCACCTCCCCTAAGACGCCCGCATGCGAACGTTTACAACCCCATCCATCGTAAAGTCTAAGCAGTAAAAAGAGCAATCAGGTCCGGTACTGCTATTGTTCACTGCGATCCCATGCTGAAGCGCAGCACATCTGCAAGAGCATCCACAAAGAAAACGAAACTCGCATCAGCAATGCTCCTGGTGATTGTAAGACGGCTCATGTCAAGACAACCGTGATGCCCCAAAACCCACAAGCCAATCCAACCACCGCAACCTCCGCTTCGGCCACAAGCCAGTCGGCCCACTCACAAGCAGTCTTACCACTCACCACCCAGTCTAACCGCAACAAAGAAGCCAGTTTAACCCAAGCCACAAGCCAGTCTAATCCCCACAAAACTCCGTAACCCAATAAGCCTCGCAACATCAACAAGCGAGCCTGACCACCACAAGCCAAATTAACACGCAGCCGACAAACGGAACGACATCACGACGAGGACGTGGCCACACGCACCACACACCACCCCCAACTGGGCTGGACCAACGAGCGGGCGAATGGTCAAGGACGAGATAGCTTTGGGTCATGGACGCAAAATCTTCCTGTGACAAGGTGCAAAATCACACAAATGAGAAAAGAAGTAAAGCGCGAGTGCTGTAAATGCCAGCACTCTCGGCCATCGACCAAGAATACATGAAAAAACACGCAGTTGCCGTTTCTTGAATTTCATGAAGTGTTTGACGCCCGAAATGCTGATATTTACAGCATTGCGCCCGCAACAACGTCTTCAAAAACTATGGTCTTCCGTCGCACCTGGGAGGAAACCCTCCTACTACTACTGCTGCTGCTACTACTACTACTACTACTGCCACTACTACTACTTCTTCTTCTTCTACAATTACTGCTGCCACTACTACTACTACTACTGCTCCTATTGCTACTGCTACTGCTACTGCTACTATTACCACTACCACCACTCAGGAGGGCAACAAGAGCATCATCAATAAGCAGACCAACAACACCAACCAACAGCAAGATAGCAAGTCATTGCGCGAACAAACCAAGCAGGGTAGCCAGCAACAGTGCCCGACTCGCCGGGAAGTAAACTGCAGCTAACAAGTGCCCGGACGTGACAAGTAGTCGGGTTCGTCCCCGTCTACAGTCTGCATCTGCGTAAAGCATGTATTTTGTTCGACCCCAGGCGATAAGAAGGTACGAACATGTACGAGCTGTTTGTGTTTTTGGGATCTGCTTCTAAGGAGTGTCTACTACTTGAAAAAGGTCGAGAAAAGCCTTCTGATCGTCGTTGCCTCAACCTGTCTGCCTCGATGTGCGCTTGAATTTCCGCTGTCCTTCAGGTGGAGATCCGAAGCAGGGTGAAGCAAGAACCCATGCCGGAAGCACGGAGGGCGAGATCCCATGACGAAAGATGCCGAACGCTGTGACTGAGGCCCCTTCTTCGCTTCTTGCACAAGGCCCAAGCGCTCAATCCCCAACCCCGACTGAGTGTCCTTCGGATAGAGCCCGCAAAAGTGTGGGGTAGGCCGTCTATGTGGCTGACGAAGACGATGTGGAGCGGGTCATGACTTTTCCCGACTGGGAAAAAGCATCTTTCTCTGCTCCTCCGGAGCTGACGGTGCGGGGCCGGCCACCGCGAGGGGAGCTCTTCGGCCGGGAACAGATCGTCTTTGTTCACGGCCTCGTTCAAGGTGCCATGGGCCTACCATCAGCTGACGAAAACAGCTTCTCAGATCCCTACTGTGTCGTGGAGGCTCTGTCCCGTGGAGCCGAGAGGCTTTTTGTGCACCGAACTCGGGTGATTCCCAAGACGCTTTGTCCCGAGTGGAACGAGGCCTTCTATTTCGCTTGCCCGAAGGACTTTGAGCTAAACCGGCTAATGTTCAGTATCTTCGACCGGGATGAGACAATGATCGCCATGATCGGGGCTGGCGTTGATCCCCTTGACCAGGATGAGTTTTTGGGGCGTGCAAGCATCGATATTTCGTATTTGCGAAATGGCGACATGTTGATGGAAGAACTTCCGGTATCTGGCTCAGTCATCGGCGCTAAGGTCAAGACAACAGCAGGGTTTCGTCGAGTACCCACCATTTCCATTGAAGTCGGCATCCAGCGTCGCATCAAGCCCATGTATGGGGTGGCACCCGAAGACCACTCGGCCGTGATCCCAAGGCGAACCCATCGAGTCAGCCGGCAGCCTGGGAACTTTGGCTTCTCTGACACGTCCCAGTTTGTGGATGAGATCTCCGAGGCGGAGCGCACCGCCACGGAGGTCATGGAGGCCAACAACACGGGTCGGCTCTTGAAGGGCTCACACCTGGGCATGCCGCCCAACTGGATCTCCCTGCCCGAAGCCATCGATACCTGGGAGTTGCCTCCTCCTGAGGAGCCTGTCCCAGACTTGGAGGCAGAGATGAGGAAACATGCAGAAAAGGCGGCGCGTGCTGGGCAGATCCCCGACGGCTTCGACTTCACGCATGAGCCCCCGCCAAGGGCTGCGCGGAGTTTGCCGATGCTCCATTCGAGGTTCGCCCAGCCAAAGGCGCTCTTCCGGCGCTTAGCAAAGGAGCGAAAGGCAGGCAAGGACGGAAGCACTGCCATCCAGCAAGGTTTCAATGCGAGATCAAAGCTGAATATTGTGCAAAGTCTGAAGGGCTTGTGGTACAAACCAACTCCAGAAACGCTTGTGCACCGGCGCCTAGAGGAGAACGGCGGCTTGGCAAGATACAACAGGTAGTTGGCAAAAACCATGTCATGAAGCAGGGACATGTGTGGTGCTATCTACTGCGCCCAGGTGACGACAACAGCTCTGCAGGAAGCCCCACATCGCACGACTGGGTGCTGCGCTAGTTGGACAGTGTTTGCCCTGTGCTCTGGAAATAGGTTTTTTTTATTCCTCTTCTCAAGGGATTGGATTGTTCGGTTCCGGCATGCTCTCAAAGAGAGGTGCCTGAGCAGGTAGAGTAGGTCAGGTTGGTTTGACGGAGTCAGCCTGAATGCCTTTGCAAGCCGAGAATTTATTCCTCCTGTGCTACAAGGCCCATGCATGTTTGCCTCAAAGGCTGGCTGCAAACGCCCGGCCCTCCAGGAATCGGGGGAAAAAACGCCTGTGAGCTGCAGGAGGTTTGCGTTACGGGGGTTACTCGTAGCACTCTTCGGAGTTGCGAGTCGTGGAGGCTCAGGGATGGTCGCCATGATCTTCTCTTCGGAGTTATTGTGGATCCATTGTCGCAGCAGCAGTGTAGATGTACGTTCGCAGATGCCGTTGGCATAATGGGTGATTCTCCATTTGCCAGCCTCTCGTTCTCCAGCTAGCATCAGATGCTGTCCACTCCACAAGCCATACTGCGTTAGCTTGCCAGGTGTCCTTACTTCTTCATGCAAGGCAGTGTATCTAGCCGAGCCGAAAACCGGCATGAACTTGGATGAACTTGCTGGTCCCCTGGCGAGATATGGAGGGTCGCGGCCGACGCCCTGCGCCCAAGGATCAAAGATGCAGTACTCCGATCCGGGGTTCTGGGATTCGTGGCAAGAAAGTTGCCTTTGAGGGAGGTGCTGCAATTGATAGTTTTGCGTATGAATTTGCATACTTCAAGTTGCTTGCAGACCTAAGGATACTCGATTCAAAGATGCCGAAGGCCTTTTCGATTGGTATGCTACGTATGAAGAGCTGAGTGATGCCTTTGAGCAGTTCTGCCCTGCAAGTGCTGTTGGTGATCAAGGACTCCTGGTAGTGGGTTGCGGGAATTCATCTTTGTCCTCAGACCTTCATTCTGCTGGCTACGCCAACATCACGAATATCGATGTGTCTGCTCCTGCTGTCGAGAAAATGCAGGGGCAGTTTGAAGCCCTGCCAATGCAGTGGATGGTAATGGATGCAACATCCATGAGCTTTCCGTCCAACTCCTTCGGCGTCAGTGTCGACAAAGGTACGCTGGACGCGATGATGAGCTCTTACGCGGATGATCTTGCTGGAGCAATGTGCAGGGAGGTGTGGCGGGTGTTGCAGCCCGGTGGCATCTTCATACTGGTGTCCCACAGCAGCAAGCGAATGCCGATCCTCCGATCTGCACTGGGGAAAAATGCCACTTGGCGTTGCTTGGAGCTCCGGCGCTGCCGCCTCTCCCCGCAGGCCACGCTCATCAACGTGCTGCGGTCCAAGCTTCCCCCAAAGGGGAAGCTGGTGGATGCCTTTCGGGACCCGCAGCTTCTACAGCAAGCGAGCTCCGAAGCAAAAGCTGCCCTAAAGCGTATGGCCTTCATCGATGCCTTCCGCCTCTTCAAAGCCAGGACCTGCGAAGTTAATCATCCTGAATCCTATGATTTCATGATCTCATGCCGCGTGTGCCGCCGCGAGGAAGAGAGCTCAGGCAGGGCTCGAAGAGAGGCATGAAGCTGACGAGGCAGAGGAGCGCCTTCGGCTTGTTCCTTCCTTGTGTACTGGAAGCACAGTTCCTGGAGGAGCTTCCGGGCGAGGAGGACCTGGTAACCGGGGCTGCCGGAGAGTCGCGCGACCCTCGCCTGCAGCCCTTCTGCTGCTCGGCTTCTCCCGTGGCCCGCGTCAGCTGTGCGTGGCTGCTACCGGTCCTGCCGCTTTTGCATGTCCCCGAGGCTGGATTTACGTGCTGCGCAAGGTCGCGAGCTAGTCGAGCGCACGCAAAAAGCATCCCGGGAACATCACATTTGAGCGACAGGGGCTTTTACGTCCTCTTGTGTCAGTATTACAGGAGGACAATGTTGCTTTTTGTTGGGAATCCCGATATCCTGTCTCGGATTCCCGAGATTTCATGTTGTGTCTTGAGTTTTAGGCTTGTTTGCTCCTTTTGATGTTCGCTGACTGTTGTAGTATGTTTTGCTGCACGTTTGATATGCGCACGTATGGGCACTGCCTATTGGGTTGTGTAGAAGAACCAGTCAGAATAAGTCCAACCGCAGAAATCATGTGCATGTTACCAGGGTCAGGACTTTCCGAGTCACTCTTATCACATGCATCGCAGCATGCAGCTTTGCCAGGCCCTGCTCCTGTGCAGTGTGTGCAGTCCTGGCTCGGAGTATTTTCCGGGTTGCTGGCCGTTTTTTTCGGTGCACGATGCACGTGGATGTCCAGCGTGAAGAGGCGCAGGCGCAAGGGGCCAAGGGGTTGTGAGCAGCAACTCTTCCGGTCTGCTGAGAGGTGTTCGTCGCAGGAGCTCCTTGGCTTGCCCATCGAAGAAGCCCTCCAGGCGAGGATTTCTCCTGTCTCTGCTGTCCGCTCTTTTGCAGCATTCCCCAATTCGAGGCGGCGGCGCTGGGGCTCTTTGATCCTCTGGAGACCACCCGTGCGATGTGCTGTGCGACATTGGCCGAGCTCCTCAGGCGACTCTGCCCCTGGCTTGGGCCGTGACGAGGGCACGGAGGTCATGTCACTGCACCAGGAATGCGGGGCCGGATGCAGAGCTCGGGACGGTCGGACAGGACATGTGACGTGGCCGCGCTGCATGTGCTTCTGATCAGCGAAATTGCGGCGAGGATGTGCTGCGGCACGTCCTGGCACAAGTCGCCTCCAATTCCGGGGAGGTGCGCCTTGCTGCGATGGAGGTGCTGCAGCACTTCCCGCGCTGGGACACAGAGGCCTGCACCCCACACTCCTGCCTGGGCGCCGCTTGAGAACCGGACGGGTGCAGACTGAAAGGTCTTGAACAAGGCCGTGCTGCTCTCAGCTTTCGGCCGTTTTCGGCCGTAGCCGCAGTAGCGTCTCTTTGAGCCAGCTCCCAGAGGTGAAGCTGCCGATATTTCGGAAGGTTCTCACTGAGGAGGTCCTTTGCAGCCTTGTCCTGGCCTTGGCAGCCTTTTGCCGATGAATCTGCCAGGAGAACCCTGCTGGATCGGGCGGGAAGAGCTCCCAAACGGATGAGATCTGGCCGCTCGGCTTGGCATCGGCTACGCCTGGCAGTCGCCATTCCATGCCCGCGGTGTCCCGTGTGTGCTGCAGGCACGGGGCGCTCTTCTTTGCCCTTGATGACGAAGAGCCGATGATCCGCGCACGCGCGCTCCACGTACTTCGAGTTGCCCTCCGTCTGCAAGGAGTGCGAGGAGTGGTTTAGGCCGTCGCCACCTGGCAAAGTTGCTGTATCGTTCCTGCGCCCTGAGCCCTGAGGAGATGTGTCAACGACGAGCCTCGGAAGAGGCGGAAGCTTCCGCACTCTGCTTGTCGCTCTCCGCTCCGGGCTGTGGGTCAATTCTGTAAGAGTGGTCAGATTGGTTTCGTGGTCGTAGAGGGCAAACCCCCGAACTGCCCCCGTTGTTGGTGCATTTAAGCGGGCCTTGCTAGCGAATTCAGTGTTGGCCGTGGGGTTGGCCGCAGACGACTTCAATCTGAAGCGGGGCAGTGCAAGTGCGGCGGCTCGCAGCACACTGCCTAGTAACGATGGCCACCTTGCGGCCTACAGCGACGAGGCTGGGGGCTAGACGACGGATGTCGGCAAATATATCGACATCCAAACTTTCCTGAATGCGGCGCACGGGGGTGACTTCTCTTTCGGCACCATGCACGACCGCCGAGATGCAGCAAAAAGTCAAGGCCGCAACGGCTGCTGCAGCACTACACCCAGTCCCGGCCCGCTTCTTCGAGGACACCGTTTGGTCTGACACGTTCGCTGCCATTTGCGTGGGGGGTCAGAGGCATCTGGTGGGAAGGGTGGCAACGTTCCCACGGAGTCTGTCCTCGTTGCTTGGCAACGTCAGCCTCTAGAAGCTTCAGGGTGGCGGCTATATTCATGAAGCGTTGGTAGTCATGCAAGAGCTTCATGCCAAATGGCATGATGAACGCCACCCTTGCAAGACCGACGCTTCCCGTCTACATGGCGACCTCCTTGCACACGTGGGGCGCAGCAACACATTACTTGGATGGCCAGCTTGTGTGCAGAATGCCACTATCCTGCGGGCACGGCTGGCCATGCAAAGCACCGTGGAAAGTGTGTGGACCCAAACCCTGCACCCACCGTTAACGAGCCTATGTGACCGCCCACACTGGCCCACACAAGCAGAATTGAGATGTACTCCGCCTCCCACTCCTCCTCCCAGCTGAGTTCAGCTAGTTGTGCTCGTCGTGTGCTTTTTGCAAGGGACTGCATTCATGCGGGGCGGGCAAGTCGCACTCCCTTGCGCTGTGGGCTGCGGGATGTGATACTTGTTTCCCACCTGAGCCTCTTAGACGCTTAGACTTACAAGTGACTCACCACATCCCCGGCCATGCAGGTGCCAGAATTCAAAGGTTTCTTTCAGCGCCTCGCGGCAGTAGCTGCGCTGTGCCTGCAAGACACTAGCGTGGGGGACTTACTGGCTGAGATTTCTTGTGTGGGTGTTTCGGAGACCATCGCTCCGTCAGGACATGGTACGTCAACAGGCCACAGTCGATCTCTCAGCCCGAAGACGGCGACGTCTCTGCTGTAGGACAAATCCGCCTTGCGATTACGTTCTTTCTTGTTTCACTTGCTGCCTAAGGCTCTTCTGATGGAGATCATGTCAGTGAGATCAGTGGGTCTGGCAAGGCAATTAGTCGACAAGGCAGGACGAGGAGCTATGCAATGCATCTCCTTCAACGTTACCATGCGATGGAGGCCAGCGCCCCGCTTTTGACGCATGTTCTGCAAGCTTTTCCACGAGATCCAGCAGCAGCAGGTTGGTTGCAATCCATTTACAGCTGTGGTAGCAAGGACCCGTGGCCACTAGAAGCCACTGGTAACTGAGGTATTGGGTGTCTTGGAGAAGGCCCGCTTCGCTGACCTCCAAGCGCTCTACGACGCGGTCCTCTGGATTCTGAATGTGGAGCTGCCGCAGGCCTGTGGTAAGCATGCTCGTCCTGCTCCACTGGCTCCACTGCCTGCCGCCCAGGGCCTGGACTCCCTGGACTTGGAGCCCGTCGCCTTTCGCTTGGCTGAGGAGCTGGAGCGGCTGGAGGCGTCGCCGTTGCCGCAGCCGACGACTGGTAGCCCGTCTCGAGCTTCTTTCTGCAGGCCATGCCGGAGGTGTACAAAAAGGCCAAGAAGACCCTGATGATGGATTCCGCTGCCCAGCCGGGTGTCAGGCGGAGCTCGTGAGAGTGTTGCACTACGTCACCAGAACATGAAGCTTGCAAAGCTGTTTTCCTCGTAATCACTGCGCGTGGATCGAGTTCGAAGGCAACCGAGCGGCAGGTTCGGTGAGACTCCCGCACCCAGGCTACAAGTTGTAAAGCCTCGGGTGTAAGGGTTTGCGCCAAAAAAGCAGATGCAACGAGATCGAAACACAACGAGGTTGGGTGACGAAGTCGAAGCTGCACGGCATGGTATCCTGAGCGTGCGGGCTTAGGGATTCGAGCCCAGGCTCACAAAAACGGGCTCGTGAGTAGCTTTTCTCTTGTGAGCTAGCTCCACCGGCAAGTCTGCTAGCATGTGGCAACGACTACGTCACTACGTGTAGCAACGACTACGATTCCCTGTGGTGCCTGTGTCCATGCCGTCCATGCAAATGCACCATAGTATACACTCGTACAGTTGTCTTGCAACACCTAGGGAATGCAAGAGGGTTGGGGCGGGATTCTCGGACGAAGGGCGATAGCTGGCGATTGCGATTTAACATGCTCGGCTGCTCGATTCGCCGAGCCAGCCCATCACGATGGGCAGAGACCACACGATTGGAAACAGTCGCATCGTGCAGTACATAACTGCACATGTCGGCTTCTGAGCATACTCGGCCGCTTTGTCGGCTTCCTTCGGCACGAAAACGCGGTTGATCGTCAGCAGTTTCCATCGGCACGTTCAGTTTCGCAGCGCACCGAGGTCTTTGATGGGATCGGGAACTGCGCTTTTGGTGGGTTGTCAGGCATAAGATAATTTCTGCCGGCAGGTGCACAAACTAAAACAAGAAGTTAAATGGCGAACATCACTAGTGGCGCCTCACGTTGTGAAGTTTTCTAGATGTCCATCGTTCTGGAGAGCGCGCCGTGAATGCACACCATGAACTGCCGTATCCTTCGTAAGCACTGTGCGGAGGCTCCTCACGTCAACCGTGCTCTATGGCTCCGATCCAATTGCGCCTGCAGGCGTGACATCGCTTGAAAAGTAGGGCGAGCTGATGGACTGGACTGCTTTTCAGGCATCGCGGTGGGCCTCTCCCAGGGGAGGGGATCCACTCAGATGGAAAGGTCGCATCCTCGTGTCCTCGTCCTCGTCTTGCCTGGGCACCGTTGGGCGCTTTTGAGGTTGCGGGTGCTGGTGGATCAGGTTTCTCTGAGGCACATGTCGCCATGCTTCGCATGTCGCATCGCATGTCGCATCGCATGTGGTCGCATCGAGTGCGGTTGATGGCCTTTGTTGGCCTTTGAGGAGCCCGGGAGCTGCCGAGCACCTGCGAGGTGACGATGCGCTTTCGCCCTCGAGGACGCGAGGAAGGGAAGCTCGGCTGATGGGCCCCGAGGTCCGTAGGTCGCCCTGCGCCGGAGGATCTCGGAGTCGCCGAAGGAATCCACGCCCGCACCCCAAATTGTGGAAGCGCGTTTGTACTGTTGCGAAAGTTCTCTGGACCCGACTCTCCCAGGTTGACTTACTGGATCCAGTCGCTGGAATGGCACTGGGACGTTGTTGCCACCGGGCTGACAGAGGTGCTCGCCGGAAACACCGAACCCGATCACATCCGATCTCCCTGAGCATGAGACATGTCTCCTCGGAGGCACCGTATTCCGACCGACTGCGTGTGGCTGCCTCGCGGATGAGTGCCGGCCTGAGGCTGACCCTCAGCGAGATAAGATCCACGAAAAGAGAGGACATGATAGGACGGGATGCGTGCGAGACAAAAGCCAGTGCGTGGTGTCTAGAGTGGCGCGTGCCAGAGGGCTGCAGCTGCTTTACAGCCCATAAGGATTGCTTCCCGAGGTCAGCTCCAGCAGCACTTGTCGCTTGCCACTGCTGAGGTCAGGATCTTGGGCTTGTTTTTTTTTTTGGTGCGGTTCAGCAAATCGGGACCTGAGTGTGGGAAGACGCCCCGGGCATCTCCCACAGGCAAACGTCTTCTTCGTGAGTTTGCGTATTGAGAGCCGCCAGACTGTCCCGCTCGGCAAGTTAAGAGCGGGGGGGTGGGTCACGAGCATTAGAAGGACGGCACAAGGGAACTGCGAGGCGCCAACCAACTATCAGCGTACAGGTGTCGCTCATGCAGCAAGGCCCTGAACTGCACTTTTTTCCGGCTTCTTATGAATGAAAGAACTGAGAAGCACCGAAATGACAACGTGAGTAGAAGGAGCAAGAACTAGCACAAGTACTCGTAAAACAGTCAGTTGAATGCGCTGCCAAGGCTTGCTCTGACGAGGACGCCTCCGGTGGCTTGGATTGATCTTTCTCTTCTCGCTTCCAATCTCTCGCTACTGTACTGCTGAGTGGTTGTCGTTGCTGATGCTGTCGCAGTTCTGCTGCCTTTTTGTAGGTAGGTTTGTTCGTAATATGATGATACCGCTGACTCCGCTGTTGTTGTCGTTAGCAACATTGCTACAGCTACGACTACTGTTTCCGTTGTCACGTTTGTCAATGTTGTTGCTGATAGAGAAGAGATTTGGCGATAGTCAATAGTTGTAGCCATGGCAATCTTGATCAGCAAAGGAAGGGCCGGAAACACAAATGTAACATGTGAAATGTGTAAAAGTTGTAGTCGTCATGACGCCAGAATGGGCATCTAGGCTGGATTGTCCGATCGACACACCGATATGCAATATGTGGCGGGGTTTCTAGTCGCAACTGACGTTTATGACGTTGCCGATGCTGCCCGTGATAATGGTCATGAAGACGGTATCCAGCTTGATGCTGCGTCATGATGCTATGACCACAGTGCTGCTACTGTGCTAGGCTGCTAGAGGCCGTCATCTCAGAAGTTTGCATGCTGGCGAAAACAAGAATGACCATGACAATGCTAAGAGAGGAGTAGCAACAGTGGTGGAAGCAACGACAAGTGGCAACACTTGTGCACAGAGGTTTCAGAAGTAACATGGTCAGAATCCTGATAGTCATCATCATCATCATCATCATCATTCATCATCATCTCCATCCTCATCCCCGTCCTCATCCTCGTCGCCATCACCACCGCCGCCGCCACCCACCGGCATGCTGGTGATGTCGTCGAGGTAGCTGCAGCTGGAATGCAGCCTCCCTCTCCGAGGTCCTGTGGGCTCTGATGGGGCATCCAGATTCGCAGCAGCCGCAGCTTGGGCAGAAGCTTTGAAGAGCCTGGCGGAGGCCGGGCGTGGGCTGATGTCCTGATGCTTTCGCATTCCAGTGGAAGCGTGAGGCGGCGCAGCGCAGCTACGAGATGGAAGGCCGGATGTAGTGCTTTCGCTTGTCCAGGCTGTTGCTAAGTCTGCCTTTGTACCTGTCTGCAGAAGCAGCAGCAGCAGCAGCAGCAGCAGCAGCAGCAGTTGTGGTTCGCACCAAGAGCAGCGGCGGAAACTGAAAGTGCACCGTCGGCATTCACGGGGCAGCTCTTGCAGCAGGAGTGCCGCCTCGTGCCAGCGTCAAGCTTCACCAGGTGCGGGAATTCTGAAGATTTCTGAAGCATCCGGGCAGTTCCGACAGGTTTGGCAGCGTGTTGAGTTTTTTTGTGAGAGGCCGTTTCCTGGCTGATGCACGGCTTTCTTTGGCCCGTGCAGCCATTTCCCAGGATACACGGCTTTTTCTGTGGGCGGCCGTCGCCTGCATCTTTCCGCTGTTTTTCCGCTCTGGCAGGATTCTGTTGGCGCTTCGTCTGTTGCCGCCTCACAAGTCTTCCATAAGTCCCTTTGGTTCTACCAGAAGAAGCGACGATTCGAGGCTGTCCCTGCGGCTGCTCGCTGATGCGAAGCCAACGGGCTTTGTTCTGGAGGACCGGGAGAGAAAGGGCTTCCCCCAGCATGGCGCAGCGAGGCCGCCTTGCTGCAGGACCTGGAGAAGGGCGTGCAGGAGCTCGGAGGGCAAATGCCAAGCAAGGCCGGGGGCTCAGTCTCGTCCCGGAGCACGTTGAAGTTCCCGAGCAGCGGAGAGGCTTTGGAAACTGCAACGTCTTCTCGTCTCCTCCAGCGACCCATAGGAGACTTCATGCGGGGGTCCCGCCTCTCCAGAGCTTTGCTGTGGCCCTGACAAACCAGAGGCCAGCCATGGGCAAGGGCTTCCTCCAAACCCTGCTGAATGCGCCCGTGAAGCTGAGAACTGCGCGTCTCCGCTGGACGGAGTTGGGGAGGCCGAGACCGAGACTTCTTGGGAGGTTGGGACACGGGGAGATTTTTCATAGGGGAGACTCAGAAGGCCGAAGATGCGATCGGATGGGCTTCGGCCGCTGCCGATCTCGGCCTCGGCCTTGAACCACGGCCCGTCGGCGTCATGTTTTCCTTCGGATCATTTTCTTCAGCTCAGGTGGATGTGGCTCACAGCTTCCCGCGGGGCCTCTTCTTGGCGGACAGCTCGAAGGCGGTGCTAGAGAAGGCTCGGGTTCGTGGTGGCCGCTGGGCAAAGCTCGTGCCGTGCCGTGGAGGTGCCACCGTCCGGCAGCAGTCTGAGGCTGGCCGCTAGCAGAGACACGTCAGTGTGTCTCAGCTCTGGGAGTCCTCCCCAGGACACAGCGAGTGGAATGCATCGCGCCCGGGCCGTGGTTTAGCCTCTGGCGCCGGCCCCGGATTCCACGAGTCAACGAAGCCCGAGACTGGTCCGCTGTTGCTTATCCGGCTCTCAAAGGCTGCTGCTCGACGTGGACGATGCCAGCCTAGGCTCCATCTTTCGGCTCACTGCCTATCTCTCTCCGCCTGTCTCTCTCGGGCTGTGGGTCAAAATGATTGGCTTGTGGGGGGTCGTCGCGCGCGTGTGTTCTGCGCGCGTCTTGCACGCGTTTTGCGCGCGTCTTGTCTGCGTCTGGCGTGTGTTTTGCATGCGTTGTGTGTGCGTTCTGCATGCCCAATCCAACCCCCCAGCCCCCTTTCGGACCGCCGAAGCGACCCCCAACCCCAATCTTGACCACGCAAACGGGCCCGTTGTGCCTCTCCGTGCCAATCTGTATGAGGGTCCGCCAAGGTCCGTTAAACCGGGCTTTCAGCCATTTGAACCATCCGGGGACCCAACCTAAGGAAAACACCCATTTTTCTGCCAAGTTGGGCATTAAGGGCCGGCACAAACTAGGGGTGTGTGTGGAAAGACGGACCTGGTGGATCTCCGTGCCTCGCTCTCTCTCTCTCTCTCTCTCTCTCTGACCGATGCTATTCATGATCACTGTGGGGGCTAGATTGCATCTGCGCAATTCCTCGGATTCCCTGAACTTCACCGAGCCCAGCCTCTCGGACTGTGGCAGGTGCGCTCGGTGTCCCGAGCCTGGCGGGCGGCTCCACTGGCGTGAGTTCGCAGAGTGGTCTTCACAGGCATCGCGGGTTCCGCCAGTGCCTGTTCGAGTTGCAACCGCTCTCTCTCTCTCTCTCTGCAATCATTTGTCCCAGGTATGTCAATCAAATAGCCGTGGCCGATCCCATGGAGGTCAACCTCCTGGAGTCCAGCTTCGGTGTTGTGTAAGCGGACATCTGCGCTTCCGGTGGAATGCCTCATGCGACAGGGTGCGACTGATCTGACTGAAAGCCGTGATGACTGTGGAAGAGACTGGCTTGGCAGTGCGAGGCGAAGTGCACTTGCATACATCTTCCCCTTCGTCCATAATATCCTCACCCAGTGCAATCCACGAGCACCATGTCATCGACTTCGACTGCAACTTCTGCGGAACCACATGCCGGCGGAACCGGCAACATATCCACCTCCAGCAGTACCGCAGGTTCCAGCATGTCAACAGCGTCAACGACCCGCTCTTCCACGTCAACTTTGTCAACGACTCCCTCCTTCAACTTTGTTGTTAGATGATACGAATGAGGTTGTTGAAAAGGTCGATTGGGAGGAATCCTTCTCGAGGATGCTTCCACCAGCACTGCAGCTTGTGGCGCTTCTGACAGCCTTTATTCGCCTCGCCATCACCCTGCATGATCCGAACGCGAGGAAACACCTCGAACGAAAGCCGCTGCATCAACCCGGCTGAATCTCTGTTCCTCTGAGCGTTTCTGATGTCGGGTGCGGCAGTTGGGCTCAAGCGGCGGGGCAGAGGAGGGAATAGACTGCCGTGTGCTACATAAAGCTAGGCTGATGGCGGGCCTGGGCATTCCAGCACTCAAGCAGCAGATATGGTATAGGGTATTTTCAGAATTGAATACCAGTACTAACCTCCTTCGAGATTCGTATCTAGGTTGTTACCATGACCTCGGTTTTAGCTTCTATGGTCTATCGCGGTTCCTACTTCATTCGAAGAGTAATGTCGACTGTTTATGCCACTGTTGCCATCGCCTCTGTAAGCTCTTGCTGCTGTGGCAGCATCTGGCTACTACCATTGCTCTGCTGCTACTCTACTGTTACTGTTCTCGCTGTTTTGTTGGAATAGTCTTAACTCTGGCAATATACAGCAAGCTAGCAGAAGTCATGAGACCATCACATGTTGACATGAAGCCGGCAACCACAGTGCAGCAGTCATTTGGTTACACCATCATCATCACGACGATCATGTTCATCGTCGTCATCATCTTCGTCACCATCACCATCATCATCATCGGTACAAATGCAGTAAAACCAGGGATAGCAGATGTAAGAAATCACGCTGCTCATGCTGGAGGTCACGATGGTGGACGCCTTGAATCACCATTACTTGTGTGATATTGAGCGTTGATGGTGCTGTTGTTGATGGATATCGTCCTTGCAATGGCTGTCTTGTTGATAACCATGACATGCTTGTGGCACTCGTCGGGGCAGCAAGATGTTGAAAGATGGTCACTGGAATAGCCTGCAGAGGTCAAGCTCCTGCACGAGGGCATTGGCCACACGGTCACCTGCGAGCTCAAGACCGGTCGCGGCCTCAGAGGCGTACTTGCACGCACACGCACACACAGAGAAATCGTATTTTCCTCTCCCGCCTATGGGTACACAACACCTTCAGGCGAGATGTACCGCGGTCACTTGATGAACTGCGAGGCGCGCACTTGCATCCTCATGGGCTCTCAGTACAGTCTCCTACTGTGCCAGGACAACATGAATGCCATGTTGGAGGGTGTTACTGTCACAGGTCGCGATGGGAAGGTTATAGCCTCGGCTCCGCGGTTCCGGCCTTCGGTCATGGTGCAGTCTGAAGGTCACAAATCTGGAGCAGGTCTACCTACGGCCACGCTCTCAGCGAGGCACGTCATCAGCATTGCTTTGGCCAGTTACTGGTCTGCGCCAGGGGCTCGCAGATTCGATACTTCATCCTCCCAGAGTCTTAGCTGCAAGCGCACTCTTCGCCGTGGGCACTTTTCCTGCTCCTGAAGCACGAAGCTCACATCCGAAGCCCGCCTCCGCCCTCAGGACATGCTTCGTCACGCGCCCATGTTCAAGAAGAAGGCCAACATCGCCAGCTTCGATGTGTAGACTCTCGAGAGTTGCCACTTTCAGGGCCGTGGTGCTGGTCGCGGTGTCTACGGCCCTGGTGGCAAGGCCGGGCGGTGGATCTCTGACCTTCGAACCGTTCTGGATCATCTTCTGGTCGTTTTATCTTTGCATGACTACGTGTCACACTACGTTACATGCTTCTGATGCCAGGGACGTGGCAAGGGCCTGGCTGCTCGTGCGCGAACCGCCGCCGCGGCCAGCCGGAAGTAAACGGTGAGAGGCCCGGACCATGGCCCAGATGAAACAAAGTTTGGGGGGTGTTGGGGATGTGTGGGGTGCAGAAGGCCCGATCCTGCAGCCTACATCCCCTGCGACATGCAGCGCCTTGGCTTGGTGGCGTATAGCAGAAACATCACAGTGTCACAGGTGCCATTGAGGTGCTGTGGTTTTTGTGATTTCGTCAGGAGAGTGATGCAACAGCTGGCTGCTCTGCAGCGCAAGAAACTGTTGAATGTACTTGGTGCCAACGAAGTTTTGACGAACAAAACCTCAAATCGCCGACTGAGCGCAGTGCACATATGAGATGGATGTCAGTAGCGCGAACGTATCGGTTCACAAAGCATAGGAGGCATGGCGAGCCGGGCCAGTATTAGAGTTTCGGAAAGCTTCGCAGCTACTGGCGACATCCATCTGGGAGCCATCGGGCAACGGGGGCGAAGCGGAGCTATGCGGCGTTGCCCTGCTGCGAAAGCGCAAAGTTATCGCAAACAGGGCGAAGGTACGGCTCCTTGCATGTCGTAAACGTCTGGCATTCTGTGCTCTTTTCGGACGTGACCATGTGACCATTCTAGTGTCTGCAATGGATCAAGCTGCACCCGGTAATTACACAGTGCGGAACGGACATGCCGCCGACAAGAGAACCAGCAAAAAGGCAGCTGGCATGAACCCATCGCCGTTTCGCAGCGGTCGAAGAGAAAACCGACATAAAGACAGGATCCTAAGTCCGAGCCAAATCCGTGAGTGCGCAGATGGGCCCCTGATGGCTTAGCCATGGAGCAGGAGACCGAGAAAGAGGAGACCGCGGCCTCGGTGGCCTCGGTGGCCTCCATAGCCTCGAAGGAAGCGGAAAAAAACGGAGAAGCCCAGGGCCAAGCCCAGGGGGGCCAGGCCCAAGGAGAGGCCACGGCAGAGGCGGCAGAGGCAGAGGCGGCAGAGCAGGCGGTGCTGCATCTGGCGCCCCACAAGGGGATTTGTGATGTGCTCCACTTCTCAGCGGATAGAAGTCGGCTTCTCACTGCAGGAGCTGATGGCCGACTGGCGTGTCTCGAGACGAAGGAGAAGGAGACCTCCATGAGCAGAAGTTGGGCGCAGAAGATCACGCACAGCCTGAGGGTGACTGCAGCTGCTGTTTCCAGCGATGCACGGATGTTGGCTGTTGCAGAAGAGACGGCCTCTGGATTTCAGGCATGGGTCCATCTGCTAGACGCTAAGGGACGCATCGTTCAAGGACAGAAGCCCCGAATTGCGGGCAGGTTTACTTTGGACATCCGTCACCTGTCGTGGCACCCCGGCTTGCCCTACCTTTGTATTGCGACCGACGACGGCAAGGTGGACATCTGGCATGAGAGCAAAGGCCGCAAGCAACTCTTCAAGGCCGGAGGCCCTGGCGCTGCGGGCGGCGTCCGCTGTGCCTGCTTAGACGACAAGGCGGAGAAGATCGCCGCGGCCTTCGCTTCAGGAGACCTGGCTGTGGTGGATGTGGAGACCTCCAAAGAGCAGTTTCGTTCCAAGCTTTGGCCCAAGAGTGTGAGCGGCTCGGAGCGGCTTTCCATGGCATGGGCTCCCGACGGCCTCTCGGCCAAACCCTGATTCTGTGCCGGCGCTTCAGCGCCTCTTCCCTCTGCCGCCAGGCAGCTACCTTGCACTTCCGGGGGAGCAGCTGCTGGCCTGCATGCCGGTTCACATGCTGCCGCTGCACGCAGCTTATCGCAGCTTTGTTTTTTGAGGTCTGTCCGGCTCATGTCGAGAGACTTCAGCAAGGAGATGGTGCAGCTGGAAGGTGCTGGAGCAGGGCTCCTTTCCATGGCACAAATTTGAGAGCAGGTGGCCACCGCTTCTCCACGACAATCGCGTCTTGGTCTGCGGCCCATCCCCGTTTTGCAGCAGTGCAGCTGCCGTGGTGGTGTGATGCAGTGGCTGCATTCCTGGTTCAGGTCTCCGTCGGGGCATGTGCTGGTCAGTGCATCTGCAGAGGCCCTTTCGGCTGCCATTTTGCTCCAGCCTTGGTCTGATTGAAGTTATAGTGTGCCGACAGGCGGTGGCAGTGTGGGCACATCAGCGCTTACATCGAATCATCCGCTTCACCGTGGGCGGCCCGTTGTTCTGTGCCCGTGATTATTGTGCTGTCGTTCCTTGGTTGATGACCGTCCCAAGAGGTGGAGCCATCCAGCATTGCGTTTGTACCTGAGAAGATCTGAGACGGGTTTGATCTGCCACCCCATGTGCGGCCGTCGTGGATGCGCTCTTGTGCTGCATGAGTGCAGTATGAACACGTTTAGGGAGCTGAAGCCTTGCCTTGGAATCCGGCAAGGTGGGGGGGCTGCGACTTCATTGCGGTGGGAACGCAGGCCCCGGCTTTGTCAGCGACATCGAATCCGGTCTTCCAGTGCCTTGCTGCGCAGGCGGGTCACTTCGCCCAGCTGCAGGCAGGAACTCGATTTGGTCGTACAGTCAACGACTCTTCTGAGAACGAGGTGCTGGTTGAGGGTTCGGCAGACAAAGACCGCACCGCAGCCTCCTTAGCCGCCTTGGGCCTCGGCCAACTGCTCCGTCCGCCCGAGCTCTGCCGCCGAGGCCGCGCCGGTGGATTCCCAGGCAGCGTTCACAGGGTTCACGCGGTGCGGTTGTGGGACAAGCTGCTTCGTCAGGCTGACGCCAGGGACTCTCAAGTCTCCCAAGAGACGCTACCGAGCGCCCCGAGCCCCACGCAGGACACAAGCGAGCAGCCAGAGGCACAGCAGGGCCAGCTGGGTGTGCAAAAGGCGACGGAAGCCAAGGAAGCTCCGAAGCAGCAGCGCTTTCAGCCTGGGGCCACGCTCAAGGGTCGTCGGCGCTTCCTTGCTTGGAACGGTTGCGGCGCACTGAAGCTGATGCTCCCATCATCGCGGTTGGGCATGCGACCCCAAGGGGCCCAAGTGGAGGTGGACTACCACAGCTGGAGGGACCCGACAAGCGTTCGCAGCTTCAAGATTGAGGAGAACGTGGAATTGGGTGCGATCGGTCCAAATCTGTTCGCCCTCGGGAGCAATGCGTGTGGTAACTCTACAATCGCAGTTCATGTGGCCAGTCCGTGGCAGCAGGCCTCCTTCCGGTGCACACTGGCACTCGACGAACGTGCAGAAGCATTGGCGATCAGCAGTAGCTTCGTAGCAATCGTCGTATCGCCGCAGCGCTACTTGCGAATCTTCACGCCGAGCTTCGTTCCGATCGGAGTTCTTTCCTTGGCTGGTGACATCGTCTCGATGGTAGCTCACGGGGATCTGCTGCTCGTCGTTTTTCAACCAAGGCTGAAACGCGAGCCCAATCTTCGCTTCATGCTCCTGAATGTTGACAGAAAGGAGAGGATGGAGGCTGGGCAGTTGCCGCTGTCGGAGCGTTCCACGCTGAAGTGGATCGGCTTCAGCGCCGAGGCGCAAGCCCTCAGCCTGGACTCCAAGGGGGTTCTGCGCATGCTGTGTCTGCACGGTGCTGGGGAGAGCTTCGGTGGCAGCTGGATCCCCGTGGCAGAGCTAGAGAAGCTCTGGCCGGTACAGGCCGAAGATGGAGCCTTGAGTTGCGTTGAAGGTGAGCCGAAGGTGGGTCCGGGCTATCGCTTCAAGAAGATTCCTTTCAAGCTTCCTTGCGATGCTCCCGTGGAGACCTTCTTGCGGCAGAGCTTGCTGGCCACGCATCGGGCCCAGGCCACTTTGTGTGGTCTCCTGCCTACCGCCGGCAAGCAGAGCAAGAAGCGATGCGCAAATTCCGGAGCGGCTCTGAGTCTGCTCCGGATCTTCCTGGAGTCCAAGGAGGAGGAGCTGGCCATGGATGTGGTAAAAGAGTTTCTGTCCAGAGAGAGCAGCAAGGCCTCGGAGCTGGAGGAGGCCTCGGCCGCTGCGTCGGCAGCCAAGCTTGAGAACCTCGCGGCCCAGCTCGCCCAGCTCGCACAACTTGCGAGTGCCCAACCGAGCGCCCAACCCGCCCTCAAGGCCCGAAAGCTCTGAGCATAGGAACAAGGGGTTTGTTGGCTCGTATGCCATGGAGTGTACAGGAGTCGTCACGTGCTTTTTCAGGGGAGGGGTGAGGCGCTGACTCCCGAGCCAAAAGAAAGCATCCCGGCCATCACATGCCGTGAGTGTTACTGCGTAGCCCGTTGTGCGGGCGGAGGGGGCGCCCTCGTTTGTGAGGCCGTTAGGTAGCGGGGGCGTTCCAGAATTTTCCCAACTTTCCTTGCCCCGTGCTCTAAACCTGATTCTTGTGCCGGTTGCGGTCGTAAGTCATCTTTGCATCATGTCGCATGAGACCCAACGTCAGGTTGGAGGTGTAAATAGGTGTAACAGCAATCTGCGCCTGGCTCGTCCTTTGCATTGATCCAGGGAGCACTTGGAGCCTTCGGTCATGGTTCGTGCATTCGTCATGCCTTTCGTAGACATCCAATCGGCATTCCTGGCTTCTACCGGCCTTGTTTAGAAGTGGACAGCAGCCCTCGGTTTCGCACGAAGCATGACGTTTCTCCGCAGCTAGGCTCAATGGCCGGAAAGTCACTCACTCACCCAGTCCTCTAGCCCAAACCTTGAATTAACCATAGGCCGTAGCCATCGGAAGTTCACAGGGTCTGCCCAGTTTGGTCACAAGGCCACAAAACGAACTCCAGAAGCCATGACCTTGGCGCTTCCGGGCCAGGAGCATGTGCCAAAATGGTACGGGTCTCGCTCGCTCCCGGACCCCTTTCACGTCCCCCGGATTGCAACTTGAGGCTCCTGGACGACCTCAAGAAGCAGCCCAAAAGCACCACCAACACCACATGCGAACTGCGGGTGATGGGAACTGACGAGGACGGGCTGCCTCCTGTGACTTGATCTTGGAGCTTTGCGAGCAGCTTGATAATGTGTGCTTGGTTGAATTCCGAGTTTCACATCCAAAGCCCTGATACATATTGAAACCCTAGACATTTTGGCTCGAAAACTTGGCAGGGAAGCGGAAGTGAACTTGGGAACAGCCTCGACATAAAGTAC